TATCATTTCTTCATGATTTTTAATGTGTACTTTTTCAGGATAAAGCCTCAATCAAACTTTTTGCTTCTAATTTACTATGAAATATTTACTTCAATTTTGTTTAAAGTGGATTTACCAAAGGTGGCCTTTTTCTGGTACAATTACCCTGGGATCATAAAGGATCTCCTGAAAATACCACTGAGACCCCACTTAGGCAAGGCGTCCCCAAGTTGGAAGGGGAGTAAAATGTCAACTTGCTAAACCTCTGCCCGAGGCTTGAATCTTCGCTGTATGTGGCCACTAGCAAGAGGTCGTCCAGCCTCTGCCTGTAGACCTCCATAGCTGGGAGGTTTTTGAGGCACCTCTTTGGTGCCCAGCTGTGGAATATCATTAAATTCTCTGAGCAAAGAGACAAAGCAGCATTTTAAAATGGAAACTGGGCTTTCAGGATTGATTCCTAACTGAGCGCCTCCTTCCTAACTGCCCCCGCTCCTTTCAATACAGACATCCCACACCTAAAACATGGCACTCACCACTTGTCCTTTTACTTCCTTTCCCTCAGGGGTCTGGTCCTCCCGCTCTCCTTGGGAGTGGCCCAAGGAAATTCTAAAAAACAGTTTATTACCCTCATCCCTAATTTGAACAGAGCACAAAGCACACTGTCCAGAGAATTTCCGATCAGCTTCACGAAGAGTGAGAAGAAACTTTTGCACCTTGTTTTCTTTTGGCTTAAGGACTTTTTTTTTTTTAAGTAGGCGCCACACCCAGCGTAGAGCCCAATGTGGGGCCTGAACTCATGACCCTGAGATCAAGACCTGAGCAGTGATCAAGAATCGGATGCTTAACCGACTGAGCCACCCAGGTGCCCCCTGGCTTAAGGACTTTCTCATGGAGCACAGACCCCTTGTAGGGGTTCTATGTTCCATTAGAAAGAAGGGGTCCCCCTGGGCTGGTACTTGGCGAGTGTCCAGAGAGGGCAAAGCCATCTGACAAGCGTGGTAGCTGGGGAGGGTGGGACACCCAGTGACGGGCTCCCTGGCAGCGTGGTGGCCGAGCACACACAGCTGTCATCTGAACTGCCATTTGATGCTGCCTTTAGAGATTCCGTCTAAGCCAAAGGATTCCTCAGGAAGAAAGCTAAAGTGATGGAGTCCCTGATACTGGGGAATTAAAAACAAAACCCCCCAACACCCCACAAAAGTACTGAGCATAAAGGCACTTTTAAGTATTTCAAAGGTTTATCATCTTCCACTGTGGACATCTGCAGATACTTGTTGGGTGAGCTTCACTCCCCAGGACAGGTAGACTATCCATGAAGACTTGGAAACGAGCCCCAGGATGGGTACTCAAGAGAGCTTGTGGAAAATTCCAACAGACAGTTCTCAAGATCTGGCCCAGGGGTCAGCAGGGGATCTTGGTTTCACAGTCACAGCCCCCATTTCCCACCCCGACAGCCCTCTTTCACAAACAGAAAATGACTCTAGAAAGACAGCTCAGTCGTTGGAGGTTAAATGCAGCAAGCCCCCAACCCTGACATGAAGGTATATGGGAGAGTAAACATAACACCCACAAGAAACAGAGCGTTGCTTTTTGTTTGTTTTCTTTTTTCCACCATTGGGAGTATTTGTGCATTCTAAAATGTTATACTGGAAGGCGGGCTGATCAGTGAACACCGTCTGAGTTTTCAGCAAAAGTTCTGCGGCTTTATGAAGACTTCCATCTGATTAAAGAAAACACTGCATGGACCACGTACAGCAGAGTGGCCACGTATGAAAACACCTGAAACCAAGACAAACAAGGATTAATGGGGGTGCATGGGGAGAGGGCAACGCATGGGCCGTCCACACTGAGCTGGCCACTGGCATGGTGCTCGGGGTCGATGGCCCGAAAGGGTGTGGACTGCCCCTGCTTCCCATCCTTCCCGCAGACATCTTTTCCTGCTGAGCCCAGATGTGGCCCCAGAATGCTCTCAGCACAGAGCTCCAGGTGACCCACCAATCCACAGGACTTGGTGTGCAAGGTCAACTATCTGCCACCACACATCATCGTGCTGGTGCGACCCAGCTACAAATGGAGGCCCTCAGAGACCCCTCAAATGACACTGCTCTCCATGGAAAACATCCTCCCCCCCCACACCAGTTAAGGGCAGAGCCCATATTCTCTTGGCTAAGAGAATATAAACGCGTGAGTTTGCTGGCTCTGGTTAAGGTCTTGTTGCTGTCTGGTCATCCTCAGACCCCCACCAGAATTTTATTCCAGGAATCTTAATTTCACAAGCATGGGCAAGGGAGTCAGGCTCATGGGAAGTGAGGGGCTGGGACAGGGACAAGGGATTGGGGCTTTGGCAAAAAGGAGGGGGGCTTACTCAGAAAGCTGTTGGAAAGATCCAGTCAGCGTTTTGACGCTGGGAACAAAGGCCCTGGAAATGGGGCAAATAGTCCCTTTGTCCCTGTCAAAGCCCTGACTTGTGTTCACGTGGGCACCGTCTATTCCTATCACCTGCTCTGGGTGGCTGGCCTCCCTGAAGGCTTGCCTGCCCCCAAGTCAAATATCTGCACCTGGATTTGTGACCTTGGGTGTGGGGTCAAGAGTTTCCAACCCAGGCACGACATTAGGGCAGCTACGGTTCCATGACTCTTGAAAATGCCCATAAACACCAGCAGTCCTCATGCCTGATCTCTCCCTGCCTCCACAAACCCTTCACCCTCATTGGCCAGGGGCGATGAGTAAGCCAAGTTATTTAATAACAAATTTCAGAGCACTCATCCAGGAACACCATCTAAAAGGAGCAGTTGTATGTGAGTGAGCCGCACCTCCCCCCCTCCAAAAAAACCCACCTCTCCCTGTCCGATGGGAGCAGTATATTGTCTGGGGAATTCCAGACCCAGTGAGAACTGTTGGCAGGAGCACCTCTGATGTCCCCCGCAGTAGCAGGAAACAGACACTTACTCTCCAAGGGAGGTCAAGCAATGGCACACTGGGGACCCTGAGAGCCAGGGACATGAATGCATATAGTTGGGCTTCAGAAACCCCCTCCCTAAATGGCTGCCATTATTGTTATTCCAGATTTCTGCAGACCATCTCCAGCTGCCCTCTCCGTTCTCACCAATCCCGGGGATCCCTCTGGCACAGACTCTCTGCTGCCAACAAAGGAGAGAGGGAGAAGCTTAGCTTTTGAGGCAGCTCCAACAAGTAACATGGAGGAGGGAGCGGCAGGCCAGATGCTTCCAAAGGTCAGGAATGCGTGGGAGAAGGCCTTGAGGTGCCTCCCCACTCCCCTGGCTGGCTACGCCCAGGACTCGGGAAAGGCTCGCTGTGGATGGGCAGGGTCTCCCCTGCGCATGGATACAGCTGATATTTTGAATAGAAAGGCATGACTTTACATTGAACCAGGCTCATACATGACCTTTAGCCCAGGGTATCGGCCTGCCGGCAACATTTTCATTCTTGATTCTCGCACTCCCGACTTGGCCTGGGCGTGCCCATGTATACCTAATTCAACTAACAAAAATGGGGGGAGATGATCAACTGCAGCGTGGATACATAGATGTTGGTGTAGTCATCAGTGGGACGCTAGACAGCAGCGAGAGTGAACACTCTACACCTCCACCCAAAAATGTGGATGAGCCTCACAGCCCTACGGTTGAGAGAAAGAAGCCAGACGTAAAAGAATGCACATTGCAGGACTCCATTACACGAAGTTCAAAAGCAGGGACAGGTGAGCTAGGCAGCTAGAGATCAGGAGGCCGGTACCCTTCATGTGGGTGTGGTGACGGCGGCAAAGCGAGGGGACCCTGGGAGCCAGTCATTATGTTCTATTTCTCAGTGTGGATGCTTGTTACACAGAGAAGTTCACTTGATGGAAATTTACCCATTTGTACACTTGCAACCTACCCACTTCTCTGGTTGTATGTGGCATTTCGGTAAGAAGAAAAAGAGGGAAGTTGGAACACAGTAGATCACAGTGGTTCTCAACTAGAGATCTTTCCCCCGGGGAAGAGGCAGTCATTCACCCTAACTGGCTTGTTCCCTGCTAGCTACATTCCACATGCATGTCACGACTGTCATCTGCAATAGTTTTATGGAAGTTGTTGTCAAATGCCTTGCTACTGATGTCTGTTCGGAGAGAAGGCTTCCCGGGTTGGGACAGGGCGAGGTGTGAAGGACGACAGAGGAGGCAGGTTACCAGCCTCCCAAGGGAAGGAAGAACAACCAAGGTGCCGCCTGGCTGTGTTCCTATTTAGAAACCAACCATCTTGGGAGATGAGCCAAATTGGGAGACATTCCCACACTGTGGGACATTTGAGGGGGTGCCAGGGACCAGAAGTGGCCATATTTATGGAACTGGAGAGTAGGCTGGGAACTTAAGGGGAATGTGTGGCTTCTTTGGGACAGGGGATGGCCCCTAGGGAACCACAGTCTTTCAGGAACTTTCCTCCAGACCCCTCTCTCTGGGAGCAGGAAGAACACCCCTGCTAAATCTTTTCCTAGAGCCCAACAATGCCCCTCCCTGTGGGTTTTCTCTCAGCCCCTGCTCTACTCTTTCCAAAAAGTGGGGATGGCACAGTTTTGGCACCTGGAGCTGGAATCTTCTGATCGATCATCCCATTTGACCTCAGGATTTGTATAATCCACATGTCGACTTCTAGAAATCTAAGGAAGAAATCTACTTCCTGAACCTCTTTAATATTTTTTAAGTGGTTAGAAATACATCTGATATTGTGAGTTCGCATGCTGGTGGGAGCCCACACGTGCAGAGCTCTGGAAAAAGGTTTTATGAATCAGAACATTCTCCTACCCTGTCATTCTGATTCATTCCATTAAAAAGAAAATCTGGGTTATAACCTCAAAGTTCACCAATGGGTCTGGCCCCACAGTTGGAGAACGCCTCTTTCAGGGTCCAGAGGCCCGCATGCACCGTGCACTCTGGCCACACACAGTGGGTACCCCCATTTGTTCTGCCGACAGAGTGAATGAGGCTCAAGCCCCCAGGCCCCCATTGCTCGCTGTGAGACCTCGGAGAAAGGCATTTAACATCTCTGTAGTTCTGAGGGAGTTGGACAGGAACCACGGGCTCATTTCACAGATGAGCAAGCTGAGGCACCTGCTCAAGGAAATGGTGGAGGTGTGAGCTCCGGCCCCTCCTGCTCCAGCAGGTTCTCAGAGCTGCCGGGCAGGAAGCATCGTCATGAAGAGCTGAAGGCCTAACAGCAGCAACAAACACGCACAGCCGAGGGGTCTGGACATGCTGGGCCCAGAAAAGCCTTTTCACAGCCCCAGCCCTGAAGCTGGGGCTTGGTGAGACCCTGGCCACTCGATTTTCCATCTGTGGCCTCAGTGCTTCCCCGAGCCTGACCGTGTACTTGGAGAGAATACCACTCAGGGAGAGCCAGGAGCCCCACGTGGCCAGACTCACTGCTCCAAACGGGTGCTAAGAGCACCTGCCCTGGACACCAACAATACCTGGCCCTCTTGGAGCAAGTTATCCATGGTCTCAGTGCCCTGGTTCTGCATCTGTGAATGGGTTTAATAAGAGCGCCTACATCTTAGTGCTATTGGGAGAGTTAGATCCTTCGTGGAGAGCTCAGACAGTGCCTGACAGTCGCAGTCATTTCCCTTTTGCAAAGCCCACCCAGGTGCAGACCCCCGGGCCAGTCCAGGCCTGCGCAGCATGGCACAGACTGGAGGGCTCAGGGAGGCTGGGGCACGTTAGCTCCCTTCTCCAGGGCTTTCTCCAGGGCTTTATTTCCGTAGAAGTCAGTGAAGTAAAAAGAGAGGGGAGAGCCCTTCCGCTGACCCTCTATCAGTGGGTGGGGGGGGCGGGGGCTGGGCCCAGGGGCAAGGGGCCTGGGAGACTCACCACGGCAGAGATGTTCTCGTGGTACTGTTTATAGGTGTAGCCCTCCTGCATCCCGATGGTGGCCAGAGCTTCCAAGACAGAGGCACTGAGGTAAAACAGGGCAGCAACACAGTGGTAGGCTGCATCCTGTAGGGTCAAAAGGGGCCGTCAGAGTGGTCTTAGCAAGGCCTGTCTCCTGCCCTGCCCCCCGTCCCCTCCTGGCATGGCTCAGCTCCTGCCCTCATCTTCTGCCCCTTCCTTTGGAAAAGAAGGGCCTTCCCGCCCCGACCCTTACCCTGTCCACCCAACACCACACCCAGGCCCCCTCTTCACAGAGCATGTGTAACCAGCACTGCCCAGATGCTTCTATCTCACTGGTGTGGGGACCAGAGTCAGGACTTCAGGAGAGAAGGCACTCTGCTTTCCTTTGAGGTGGGATCAAGGAAGAGATGGGGGTCAGAAGGGGCAGCCTGGGATCTAACAGGTAGAGATGGGCTCTGGCCCTGAGAAGCATCCCCTAGGTGGTCACAGTCCCAGTTCAGATGTGGCCTCAGTGGCCAGGGCAGGGTGACAGAGGCCCAGGTCATTCCCACTGTGCTTTTGTCTTGTTAGTCTTTGGTTTTTCTTTTTTTCTTTTAAAGATTTATTTATTTATTTTGAGAGAGTGAGAATGAGAGAGAGAGAGAGAGAGAGAGTACATGAGAGGGGGGAGGGTTAGAGGGAGAAGCAGGCTCCTCGCTGAGCAGGGAGCCTGATGCGGGACTCGATCCCAGGACTCCAGGATCGTGACCTGAGCTGAAGGCAGTCACTTAACCGACTGAGCCACCCAGGCGCCCTAGTCTTTGGTTTTTCTTGGGTGGGGGAGCTCCAGGTATGTTTAAAGGCAAAAAAGTACTAGAATGGGCTTTTGAGTAGCTGTAATTTGGAGGTGATTTCGAAAGTCTAAGTAGGGGGCGCCTAGGTGGCTCAGTAGGTTAAGCATCTGCCTCCGACTCAGGTCATGATCCCGGGGTCCCGGGATCGAGCGCCAAGTTGGGCTCCCTGCTCAGTGGGGAGTCTGCTTCTCCCTCTCCCTCTGCTGCTCCCCCTGCTTGTGCTCTCATACTCTCTCTCAAAAAAAGTCTTAAAAAAAAGACAAAAACTTAAAAAAAAAAAAAGAAAGTCTAAGTAGGAGACCTTTTGAGAGTAGAGGCCTCACCAAATGGCCCTGCCCCCTTCTGCCATAGGTAAAAGGCAGGTGTCCCATGTGTAAGTTTTACTCCCTTCGAGGACCTCAAGGCAGAACTTAATGCAGAATTAGGACCACAGGCCATCCCTCTGCTGCCTCCAAGTTCTTCTCTGGGGACCCTACTTAGAAGGCCATCACTGGGAGGAAGCCTAGCCTCACTGGGCAGCCGAGGCCAGCCCCCAGGTCCCTGCCCCCTCCTAAGATGGAAACCAGCTCTCCTGGATGTTGGGAAACGCCAGCAGGCACCTGGCTGGTGCAGGTGGTGGAGGGGGGGCGGGGGTTGGGCTGCTGCTTATCCATGAAAAAGGCAGTCATGCAGGAGAAAGCAGAGCAGGCCCAATGGGAATCAGGCAGCGACAATCAACCTCTGCCTTCACCTTCTCCTGACCTCCCTGCTGTGTGGAGCCCTGGGCTGCTGGGGAGAGCTCAGAGCCAAAGGCCTGGCCAGCTCAGCCTGGGAACGGGGCTAGGACGCATCGATGGGACAGCCTCACCCAGCACTGGAAAGACCAGCCTGCCAGGGGAGAGGGTCCAATACCCACCCGCCCACCCCAAACATTCCGGGCTGTGACTCACCAGGGTGACCCAGGAAGTCTCCCCGCCGTGGGCACCAATTATGTACAGGACAAGCAAGGTTGTGGTGGCCAGGAAGCAGAACACGGACACAAACATCACCCAGCCCTGGATCAGGGGGATGGGCACCAGGGACGAGGCAACCAGGATCCACACCAGGCCCCCGAAGACCTACAGAGGGAGGGAGGGCAGGAGTGAGCATCAGAGCAGGAGAGCCCGCACCCGGGAAGGGCCAGACCTAGAGTCATGCTGGGGCATTAGGGGCAGAAAAACAGGAAGGAGCCAGAGAATGGCAGTGGGCATTTTCCTTACCAAAAATCACTCTTTCTGCCTGCATTGCCAGTCTCAGTCCAATCCCCTGCTTGCTTGCCTTTATTCACATTTTAAATGCAATTTTAATTTTGTATTTAACAAAAACGTATATCACACGCTTATATGCCAGGCACCGTCCTAAGCGCTTTGCAAATATTAACTCAGTTAATTCTCATAACAACCCTACGGACGAGGTACTGACCTGTTTGTCAGATGGGGAAACTGAGGCACATGGGCGCTAAGTGATTTGTCATCCCAAGAAAGGACTTATCTCCTCCAGTATTATCATTATTCTGAGGTTTTATCCTAGATTAAATCACTAACATTTTGACATTAAAATATCTTTCCTTTTATGAAAGGTTAGTGACTAGCAGACTCTTTTGGTCTTTACTTGGCAAAATAATCGACCACACTATGTCATAAGCATAATTTTTTTTATTTGACCCCTTAAGCCCCAAGTCCAGGAAGTGCTCTGACTGCTGGGGTCCGGGCTGGGATGGAGAGGTCAGCCCGCCTCCTCACCTCCTCGGGGGGCCCAGGAGTGGTGTGAGAGAAGCATTTCCCTGCTGTTATCCGGAAGAAGCCCCTGTTGGTGTCTGAAGGCTCAGGGAGCCCCATGTTTTCAAAGAGGAGCGCAGGACAAGGTAGGAATCATAACAGCACCCTGAGGCCACAGTCCTGGCTCCCCGGGGACAAAGGCGCACATACTGAATCGGGGATTGTCTTCTCTTCCCTCTCCCTCCTCACCCCCGGGAAGGCAGCTCAGTCTCCTCCACCATCCCCCACCTAGGTAAGGACTGTGCTTGGGAAGGCTGGGACACAGGTGGAGAGGGCTCTGTGGCCAAAGGTCCCCAAGGTCCTTCGGAGCATCTAGGGGCCGAGGTCAGGCTGCCCTCCCAGCCGTACGTCCCCTATGGTGTGAACTCAAGTGGTGCCTGGGCTTCTCTCCTGCCCCTGCTGCCCACCTGCTGGGCAAGAGACCACCATCCTCACAGGTGCTCTCTGAGCCTCTCAGCTGAGAAGCTTCAGGATGGAATCACATCTGAGTAGAAAAATCAGAGCAATGAAGAAACTGGGGTTATCAAAACAAAGCTGGGCCTACTGACTCAGATCTGGGCATCTCTGACTAGAGCACTTCCTCTACTGTTGAATCTGAGGGTCCGTGAAGGCACTGGCAGAGGCGGTGGGACACATTTAACAACTTGCAGTTAAATGCACAAACAGTTAAATAAAGCAGTTTAAACAAAAATCCTTAGACCACTGTAGCATCCGATCTGAGTGTGTGTGCATTTCATCCATAGCTGCCTCTAAGATCACACAGACGACCGGCCTTCTCCATCACGGGCCCTGGCAAAGGGACATGAACATGCTGGCAGCTGAGAACTTGGCTGAGCGTGGCCTGGAGAAGCAGGAGAAGGGGACAATGCCTGTCTGGAGGGCAGAGGCAAGGGCCTGGGATGCTCCTCTCTTGAGCGTCCTTTACCTGGGCGCCAGGTGACCATCCAAGGAGGACCCATCTCAGTTAGGTTCCCTCATATGCTCTCAGGGAGCCCTGCCCTTCCTTCTCCCTAGCAGCATCCAGGTGTACTTGGTTAGTTACAAAACGGCACTATCCCTGACCAGGTGATGGAGGGGGCGAGGGTCCCCTTGCTCACAGCTAACTCCTGGGTGGGGGACACCTGTCCAGCTGTGCGTCAGTGTCTGAGTTAGTTAACTGGCCTTCAGGGGCTCCCGTCAGCGGGGTATGGGTAACCTGGAATGATTTATGCGTTGTGTGTGGAGGGCAGAGCCCTGTGTTAGGGAATCCTGCGGGGACCCAGTGGGCCGGAGGTGCTCGTGGGCAGCCAATGGACATGGTATTGATGAACACCGAATACCACACCAGGAAAAACGATTCTCTTTTTCACTCTTTGGTTTTTCTAAGGCAAGAAGGGCTCAGGGTTGAGCCAGGGGTCTGGAGCTCCCTTAGAGCATGGGCTCCCAGAATGGGCTGGCAAAGGTGAACTGGGCAATGACACTGTTTTTATTTTTAAGATAGTGATACAGTTATTTTGGACAAAATTAACTAAAAACCGTATGGGGTAAGTTAATGCACAGATGGTACCAGGAAATGGCAAAATCTGAGACTATGGCTCTCAGGCTGCTCTACAGACTTCTCTAACTCTACCTCTGTCAGCTAAGTTTCTCCCTGTGGGGCTTGGTCGGGAATCATGGGCAGGAGAAAGAAGGTGAAGTCAGAGTGAAGCCACGGCCCGGAGCGCCTGCCATAGAGTCCGGAGCATGCACTAGCTAGAAGTGGCCCCAGTTTTGATGCTGAGCTTCTGGTACTCAGTGCAGAGGGAAGCTTCAGGGTTCATCCGGACACTTGACCTGCTTCAGGTGTGTGCTTTTACCAGTCTGATGCAGCTGTGTTCCAGCTCCCTGGAAAATGCATTCTCTCTGTCTCTCTCTCTCAGACTCCTGGAGTCTGTAGTAAGAATACCTGTCCATAGGAGCAAAGCCCACCCTGAACTCAATCCCAGCCCCTGCCCTCTGGCAGACCTCAGGACCCTATCCTGCCTTTGGGTCTACAACCTTGCCAAGGTCCTTTTAACAATTATTTCTTTGCACCATTTGTCTATAGCGGCAAGTTTCATAGTAAGATGGTGGGAAGCAATTCTCTCTCTCTCTCACAGCTTTAATGGAATATAATTCATGTACTAGACAACTTGCCTATTTAAACTGTAAAATTCAATGGTTTGAGGATATTTACAGGTATGTGCCATCATCATCTCCAGACCAGCTTTAGGACCTTTTCATCACCTCAAAAGAAACCCCGTACCCTTTAGCTATCGCTCGCTTCCCTCCCTCCCAACCCTAAGTGACCACTAACCTACTTCCTGTCTCTAGATTATACTATTCCGAATTTTCACATGAGTTGAATCATATAATAAAAGATGGGCTTTTTTGACTGGCTTCTTTCCTTTAGCATCCTGTCTTTCAGGGTGAGAAATTCCCTCTCAAGGGAACTTTTACGAAATAGCTACCATCATAGCGCACCCCACTGGCCCATTCCAGCCCCCACCATTTGGGGGGACACTGAGTGCACGTGTCTCATTTCTCAGGAGCGTCCAAGCCGCAAACAGCTGAGGAGCCACGGGTTCCCAGGGACGTTCCCGGAGGAAGCACGCCACCAGCCCAGACTGTCCCTGCAATGGATTTTAAGCTACACATCATGCGAACGTCATGTCCTCAGCACAGGTGAAATGACTAAAACCCGGGGGTTTTGCTCCCAGAAGACTGGCAGGGGCCTGCCCTCTACCCCTCACAGCCCTGCCCAAAGGGTTCCCCAGGCGAGGACCGCCGGGCAGGGGGGTTTGAGAGAGGGGCCCAACAACCCTGAGGACGGGAGGGGGCGAATGAAAAAAGACGGGCCTGGGCCGAGGAGTCTATTCCCAGCTAGATGTCTGGGAGCAGCGCCCTGGACACAGGCACCGCGGCTGTGAGAAGCCGGGCGCGGGCGCCGGTTGGAAGCGGCCACAGCGGTCCCAGCTGCGCATGTGTGAAGGCTCCGCGCCTCCCGCGCACCCCGCCGCCGCCGCCGCCGCCGCCGCCGCCGCCGCGGCTCGCGAGCCCGGCGAGGGCCTCGCTCCACCCACCCCCTCTGCACGAGGCTGCGGCGTGAGGCAGGCTCTTGGGCGCCGGCCTCGTCGTCCACAAACGGCAGTTTGCAGCGGCGTCTTGGCGCGGCAGGCTGGCGCACCCTGGTTGACGCGAGGGATGTGCGTGCGGAGCTCCTGGCGCGGTGCCCGGCAGCACCCCACCACTGGGGTGAGACGCTGTTCTCCCGCGAGGCCAGCAGCCCTCAGACACGTGCAGAGGCAGCCGGTCTACAAGGCAGGACGGGAACCGGCGCTGAGGGGGCCCCGCAGCCCGGACTGTGCAGGGCCCCGATCGAGTCTCGAAGGCACGGTTGGACTAACTGGTTTACCGGGCCGAAAGGTCAAGGAGTGGCTTTCCAGGGCGAGGAAGGAGTATATAATAATACTATAATTAATATAATATAATATAATATAATATAATATAATATAATATAACATAACATAACATAACATAACAGGCCAAGTCCAGAGGCTGCGGAAGCAGCAGTGAGGGCTTCAGAAGGCCAGGGAGCTGGGCATAAGGTAGGCAGTGAGGGGGAGGGGTGGCTGAAGATGGGGCTCAACGGGGACGACACTCGAGACAGAACTGATCTCTGGGCCGGCGTGAAGGCCTTTAAGGCCCCGCTCCATGGAAAGCTGGGGTTCAGTGTGGATCATGGGACAAAGCCGGTGCCTGCCCCACCCCACCTACTAAATGTGCAGAGAGCAAACAGAACAAGCATAGCATCCATACCCGGGGAGATAAGGCATCCTGGGCAGGGAGCAGTCCACCCCATCCTGACCTCAGGACCCAATTGGCCAAATATTTGTCAAGAGAAGGGGGTAGGTGAGGGTTCATGCATTTCCCTTTGTAAAGAAAACTCCAAGCAGCTCCCAGCTCCCAGGCAGCAAGTGCTCCGAGGCAATCATTCGGAAACATTAGTCATCCAAGTGGAGGCATGACCACAGTTTCTGTTTATCTCTGTCAACAGGCCGGACTTCCCATTACCCCTGCCTACACCAGGTCACCGTCCTCCATAATAGAGACCAGAAACAGTCTCTAAGTTGGGTGGCCTGAGAATGATCTGCATTGAGCTCTCTTGGTGGGGCCCAGAACCCCAAGCTGGAAAATGGTGGTGGGTCTGAGCTAACACCATGGTTTGCAGCCCTCACTCTACACTAGAATTGTCTGGGACACCAATGCCTGCGATCTGACTCCAGTGGAGAGAAGAAATTACC